AGAGTCTATCAAATTCCAACACTAAAAAAAAGACTATCTTGGATGTCTAGAAAATGGTGTACCTTGCCATAGTTGTCAATGTTTGTTTTGAGAATGTATTCGACGTTAGCAGGGTCAGAAGTATAAATCTTATTCCTGAAAGGGCTAATCAATCTATAAGTCTTGTACTTGGCAGCAAGATCAGTCATGTAATGGTGTAACCTCTGGAAGTTTATAAGCTGATTGAAAATGGTGCCGCCAATTGGATGGTATCTCTTTTTTCCATGTAGTTTTCTGGTCAGAAGATGAACTAGGAACACACAAAAGACAAGTGAGAGAATTATGGATGATATGGTTATGGAGCTTTTAAGAGTATCCATGGAAACCACTAATATATCGTTGTGCATGTTTGTCTTATAACGTATCATTTATGTACTTAATGGGAGTAGAAGGTATTCAATCCATCTAATGCTTAGATGAATTAAAGTTCCCTTTTAACTTAAGATTTGGTCCACAAGAATATAGGTTTGGTTTTCTTAGATAAATGTTACTGTTAGCCATTTGAATTTTGAGAAACAGAAAATGCAATAATCTTTTGGCCAACTTTCTGATGTTAGGTAGCTGCTAATAATGCCCAACCAACACTAAGCCCTCAAGATGTCAAGTATCCAATGTTTCTAAGTCATTTTTGCAACATGTTTTTATAGGGTATGATCTTTCGTAGCCAGTTTGGCAAGAAAAAAACAGTGAAATCCGATCCAATTTACTTCAATCAATTAGTTAACATGTCATTAAATGTATTTCTGAAATACAGAATAAATCATTGGTCTATCATATTATCAATCGAGACAATATAACTTAGAAGTGTTCTATAGGATATTATCTGCTTCCAATTCCTTTCCAAGAATTGTATTGTTCAAAAGCCATGATAACATTTGACTCTGTTATGTGTATACTACTAGTTCATGGTCTATTTGCGTACTCCAGTATCGTGTCTCAGTTGAAGCACATTCCTGATTGGGATATTTTTCTTTATCTCTATTGAAGAAACTTTCTCCTCAGTTAAAGAATATTTCTTTATTGAAATGTGAGTCATGTCAATTTGCAAAACACCATTGCATGTGTCGTCACATCCAAGAGTTATTTAGTGAGTTGAATAATTAGCTTATGAGCTAGTTTATTTTGATGTTTGGAGACCATGTCCCGTCGACCAACATATCATAAAACAGTTATTTGCAAAAGTCACATGCCTCGTAAGAATCCTCTGGTGCAATATAGATACTGTCTATGCCGTACAAATTTAATGAGATGGTCAGCTTAAGTTTTAAGATGAGATATATAGTCACTGTACACTTCAAACAAAGTTCCTGTTTTCATCAAGTAATTATATATTGTATTACTGTTATAATTTTAATTATACATTCAAACGCTTTAACCTTGGACCACAAACTTCATCAAACTGGAGGCAATAATGACGAACGAGTAAAAGATGAAATTAACATATATTAGGCCCGTGCTCAGCAATGGCGCACCACCACTGTATATACATGTGTAAATATGAAACGACAAAGAAGCTGCACCAAGTTCATTTCCCTTTTATTAAGAAGACATTCAGGAAAAGCTCCAATCCATCTTATTTTCAAGCATAGAATTATTACATATTGTAATATTATTAATTAATTTAAAAATATGCATACATTTCAACTGTCCAACAAGTAACAAACTGGAACAGTTACTTAAATAGTTGAAGGTGGGGCAATCACTGCACCCTTAGCAATCTTGGACTTGAAAGACTCCGTCACATTTAGAGAGGCCTCTAAAACTGATGGAGATATTGCTTTCCAAATTGAATTTTTCCCGCCTGATAATCCTCCGTATACTTGCCTGCATATGTATATTTTAAACGAACAATGTCGCGTAAATTGTTATATATAGTTAAATAATAGAACTACTTACTTTGACGACGTTATGACTGAGAAGAACTCCATTCCTCCTTCATCAGCTTCCACAACAAACGGAAAGAATTTAGGAACAAAGAACAATTCACCTTCCTTCACTTTGGTATCCAACACAACCTTACGTAAAGGTCCCACAATTTGAACACGTCCACTCCCTTTTGTAACATAACTCAACTGAACGGACAAATCCGCTGTAAAAACAGGACCAAATAAAGCACCACCTTCCAAAACTACATGATTCGCGCTTAATCCAATGTCTCTAAGCAACGGTAAATTCCTACAAGTTACCGCGGATAAAATTCCACCATTTTTTACCTGAACGGTACAATGTTCCGCGCTATCCAAGTTGAAAACCAACTCGTGTTTCGCGTTTTTGTTACAAGGTTCTGGCATTTTTGTGTCTTCCTTTATTTTAATAATAATATTACAACTAGTCTCTTCTTTTATAAGTTTTTCGATTTCAGGTTTGGTCATGTGAAAAGATTTAGCTATGAGTTCATTAGAGAATCCATTTAAAATACCGGTGAATCCAGTTAAGAAGAAACCACAGTATTCTCCAGGGGTGTATTCATCATCATATTCTCCTAAGAAAATTATTTCGAGTTTAGACTCTCCATCATTGTACCACCATGACACCTCTTTCATGGTAAGAGGTAGAGTATCCCCTTTTTGTAATTTTATAACTTCTTCTTTTGAATCTTCCGATGATATCAGCCCCACAATGCATTCACCTATCAGAATTACATAAAAGACATAATTACATATATTGAACTCTAAACTTGGTTTCAAATTTTAATTTTAACTTCAAACTTTTATAGCACACAAATAGGCACTTTAACTATCCCATCTTTCAATAAATAAACATGCGATTTCTACCTGGCAAAATACACGCGCGAGTGGGGGTAATTTTTGAAGCCCACAAAGGTAAAGAAAATGTTGAAATCACAATTTTACCCTTAATAAATCTCTTTTATATTAATTAAATTTTATTTTATTTTTAGTTTCAAAATGACATGTAAGATATATTTTTTTTAAAAAAAGACATGTAAAATATTTAGTTAGTTGGCAGCCACTGATTGGCTCACTGGGAGTTCACGCACTTTGACTCCAAAAATCGTGTGTTTATTTATTGAAAGATAGGATAGTTAAAATGCCTATTTGTGCACTATGAAAGTTTGAGGTCAAAGTTAAAATTTGAAATCAAATTTAGGATCAAATATATGTATTATATTTTTTTTATATAAATGGTTATGTTATAGTAACAATTAACGGAAAGGATTGTCCAAAAACATATATCGTACGTACCTTGACAAACATAAGCAATTTTTGAGGAAACGGAATAGTAAGGTTGAACAAACGCATGAGGCTGAAGAAGAAATAATCCAGCAGCAAGTTTTTTCTGGCTAAGAAGAGGAAATTGGCTACTTGACCAACCGTAGTATCCACCAACTCCTTCAACTTCCATTATTATTTTATCTGCTTTTTTCGATGCCAATATTAAATCCATCGATATATTCTCAAACTATATAATAATACCTAAATCACACTTTTGAACTAATTCTTCAGAGGCAGTCCTTCTATTTATAGAGGCCGTCTGATTACGACTTTGAAATATAAAAGTTAGTTAGGTAAAAAGTTGGATTTTATATTTTCATTTTTTTTGGTTTGGGTGTGCATCTGTCCATTCAGCTTTATGTATTATTTGTTTGGTTTATCGATTTTTTAATTTTTAAATATCTTAAACCAATAACTAGATTGAAAATATTTGTTTATCAATTTTCGATTTAATAATAAGAAAATTGTCATAAAACAAATATATGATTTCTTCGATAATTTGGCGCTACAGAGTAATAATGTAACTTTACATAATGCTCATAAAAATAGAAACAATAGTAACTAACATGAAAAAAAAAAGAAAACTATACAACAACAAAATAATAATGTGAATTAAAGGCTAAGGAGAAAAGATAGTAAATAGTATCGTACTGATATTAATATGTAAATATTTTTATAGAACAAAGTAGGAAACTATTACAATGTAAATGTGTTATCGATTTATTCAATAACCCAATATTAAAAAAGAAAAACTGAATCAATTATCTGATCGTTAATTAACCCAATAGTAATACAATATCTTTTTTTTCATTCACTTGATTCTATTTTTGCACACACCTACCAGTAACTTACTTTTGGAAAGAAGCAACCCCACGTTGGCTATTATTTGAAGAAATTTAGCAGGGGCTGTGCAAACGTAGGGATTGTAATTTGTATCTAAAAGTAGTGTTAAACTAGCAAATAGTACATTTGTGATCTATTGAGAGTTTTTTTAATGTACCGTAAAATCTTTATGATTGTAAGGTGTGTTTGGTCAAAAGGAAATGTTTTTTCGGAAAATAAGTGGATTTCTAACTTATTTTTTTAAATATTTGGTTGGATAGAAAATATTTTTTAAAGTTTGAGTTAGTGAATGAAAAATATTTTTCAGAGAAATATTTTTTATTTTTGACTTAAGACTAAAAAAATATTTTTTAGAAAGAAAGTTTTTAAAATAAAAATTAACTCCAATAATAGATTTAGAACCCGACCATGAAATGGCTCGGGAATAGGAGTAAGGGGAGGTTAGCATAAAAATGGGGAAAAAAAATCAAATTGGAAATATTTCTCAAAAATAATTTTTTCTTAATTTTTTTTTGTGGGGGTAGGGTAGGGGTGGGTGTGGCGTAAAAAATGATTTTTCTTAGAATTTGATATATTTCCAAAAATAATGTTAAAAAAGAGAGAAAAATTGACAGGGCGGGGGGAGGGGGTGGCCTTGTTGGGGGTGGGGGTGGATGGGGTGGTGGCGTAAATTTTTTTTAAAAAACAATCAAGTTTGAAATATTTTTCAAAAACAAAAACAGTTTCATTCACCAGTTTTTTAATAGAAATACGGTTAGTTTTACTTCTAAATGAACATTTTCAGATGACCGTTATTACTCATGAACAGTAAACTGCAATGCGATAAGCTAACGTTTCAAGCAACTTCGATCTGTGAAACTTATATGGAGTGAAAACATAAGGGAGGAAGGTAAAACAAGGAAAATATGAATTAAATAACAATGACACCTTCCTTAGATTACAAACCTTATTTCAATTGCACCGGTTGATGTTATTTGAAAGGCTTATTTTGGATACTCATGTCATGGAATTACATTTTGAGGCAGAGTAGGACTGATACTAACATACATTTTAATTTATACTCTTTCTAGTGGCCCTATCTATGAAAGACATCAACATGGAGTCCGCCGGCGATCTGAAGACTAATCATTGTCCTATAGTTGACAGTGTTCTTGTCATCACTCAACTTAAAAACAAAGTAATGTAACAACACAGCAGAGAATATTTTCATCTGCCTATAGGCAAACTGCTTCCCCAAGCAGATCCTCGGCCCTGCCTGTTTTATCAGCAAAAGAACATGCTTAGCTAATTGGTTAATGTGACAGTATATAGGCACTAGGCAAATAAGTACTGACTCGCGTTCAAGACTTTAACAAATGATAATTAAAGCTAAAAAAAAAGAAGATTTGACTGACCTGGAAAGCAGTAAATTTGAAGGGGCTCTCATGCCTGAAGAAACCATGGCGATCAAGCCATCTCTCTGGTTTATATTCTTCTGCATCATCACCCCATATAAATTTCATTCTTCCCATTGCATATGGTAGGTAAGACACCATATCTCCTTTGTTCACACTGAATCCATCTGGAAAGGTGTCATCCGAAAAACATAATTTTGGATCCTGCAGTAAGGGGAAAAACAAAAATAACAACATGAAACATACATCTACTTAGCCGCTGATGTATGATGAAAGTTGTTGTTTATTACCGTTGGAATTGAAGGATAGAGCCTAAGAGTCTCTGTCAGTGCTGCATGAAGATATTGCATCTTTTCAAGGGCATCTTCACTTACATTGGCAGCAAAATCTGTTATATCTGTTGCATTTTCTTTCTCGGTTGTTGATTCTTTGATCTCTTGTGCTACTTTCTCCTGTACATGAGGGTACTTGCATAACACATATATGAACCACGAAAGGGTGGTTGCTGTTGTATCTTTGCCTGCTATTACGAAGTTCAATATTATATCACGCAGATACTTTGGATTTGTACCAGATATTTGCAGAAACCTTGACAAAATGTCTTCTTTCTTCCACTGCAACCGGAAAAATATCATAATATCTAAGCATCTATCTACATAAGTAAAAAAGAAGTAGCTGTAAGACGTTAACCTACTGATAAATCAGCATCTGGTTTAGTCATCTGCTCAGTTTTTCTCTGGATCAGCTTATAAACAAATACATCAACAGTTCTTATATTGTCCCTTAACTTTGCTTCTACTCCGATATTGAGAGCTCTTTTAATCTTCCAGAAGACATCGACGTATCTCCAGGTTGTCATTGCATTAGCATTGTCAAATGCATCGCCAAATTTTTTGCTCTCTTCATTTGAACCACATATGCTGTCTAGATCAACTCCACAGGCAACTCTGAAAATTGAATCTTGAGTTGATTTCATGAATAGATCCTACATTGACAAACTAGGTTCATTTGTCTGGTGTAAACATAAAAGGGTTGTTTAATGAAGTCGAGACATGGAACTTACTTGAATGTCAACTGTTGTGTTGGAATTGGCAGCGTTAGACAATACATGAGCTAGCTTTGCCACATTTTTTCTAAAGACCACACTGCTGAAATCCCTCAAGACCCTCGTGGAGAACTCATGGCTCGACAACTTCCGCTGCCCCTGCCACTTATCCCCATCAACTGTGAAAATCCCATCCCCAAACAGGTCCTTAAGAATGCTGTAATTATACCAACCCTGCAGATTATTTGAAAAACTCAAGTGGGAATCAGAAAATCATTCTACCATTTTGTCACACCAGTTGGGAGATTCGTATAGCCAGCTGCTACTTATTCGGGAATTCAGACAGATCCAGGGATTCATTTAGATACTTGAAATAAGATCCAATTCATCCCAACCCCCAATCTAAACTGACCTTAAAAGAAGAAGAGAAAAGAAACTACAACTAGATAGTTTGACCATACAACTGGAATGGAACGCCACTAGTTTCCAATTTTCCAACTCCAAATACTTGGAATTTAACCAAGATTTAGCACTACTTAACATCTACTTACCAAAAATATACAGATTTATAAAATTCTCTTTTATCAAACAGTAACAGTAGCCCAATCGTATATATCTGTCCACAACATGAAATAAGAAACTTCGAATAATAGTTACTAATAAGGCATTCAAGAATCAATCTGCTCCTACATAAAAAGGGTTATCTAGGATTTCAAGAAAACGACCTACCTTGCCATAGTTGTCAAAGTTTGTTTTGAGAATGTACTCGACGTTAGCAGGGTCAGAAGTATAAATCTCATTCCTAAAAGGGCTGATTAACCTGTAAGTCTTGTACTTGCAAGCAAGATCAGTCATGTAATGGTGTAACCTGTGGAAGTTAATGAGCTGATTGAAAATGGTGCCACCAATTGGATGGTATCTTTTTTTTCCATATACTTTTTTGGTCAGAAGATGAAATATGAATCCACAAAAGAGAAGTGAGAGAATGATGGATGTTAAGGAGATAATGGAGCTATGAAGAATATCCATCGAAACCACTGCCATGTCCTAGTGCATATTTTTGGCTTATAATGTTTCGCTAAATACGTTCTTTTGACTTAATTCATCTTCATCTTCATCATCAATATTATTTTATGGTTTTTACAACTTTCTGTGCATCAGCAATCTTGTTCTATTTTCTGTGCACAGCAATCTTGTTCTATTCTGTGCATAGGCAAGTTAGATAAGCTCTTTTGTCTCAGTCTTACTTCCTGTTTGTCTTTTCCCTTTATTTCCCCTTCAAATCTCATGAGCTCATCAGGCTGATGGTTCTTTTAAAAAAGGATAAGTCTGAAACAACATGCCAAAATGATTTCGTGTCATGTTTGTCTGTCCTGCTTTATACGGTATGATTTGATCTAGTCAATCAAATTTTATTATCCAATGTGCTATATGTTCCACTAACAAGGGAAAGATTTTTTTTTTTCATTAGACAACAGAGTGCTATATAACCTACTTTTTATTCAGTTATTTAAGTTCACCAAAAAAAAAAACATTTTGAATATGGTATTCAGGATTGCAACATCCCACTAATATGCCATTTCGTACTTTTAAGAAGGAATCAAGAACTTGATGAAATCGTACTAGAATCCACTTTCTTGACACAACTTTGTGGATAGTTGAACTAATAGTTCAAATGTCAAAAATGGATAATCATGACTTCTGTATATTAGCTTTAAAGATGACATTCATAGTGCTTTCTGCATTTCAGCCTCCTACTAATCCTCTTCTTGGAACTGCATGAACTGGAAGCCCTTCATTGATATGGAGTGTAAACATGGTTCTGTAGGTTACTACTTTCGTCTCATCGGATAACTTGAACCTGAAGAAATGAAGAAGAGCCATTGCTAAAATCTTCATTTGCTTGTAAGCAAAATCTTTGCCTAGACATATTCGTGGACCAGCCTGTGAATCAAGAAAGCAAAGAAGTTAGAGAAAAGATAAAGATAAAAAATTTTGCCGGTTGTCCCTTCTTTGGGACAGATGTTTAGTAAATGATCTTCTCTTTTTAATTTCTCTTTGAATTTATGGACCTTTTAGATCATGATCTAAATATACTTTTTGAGCAAACTGACTATCTTATGAGAAAATGTTAGACCGGAGTTTAAAATATTGTAAGTTACCACAACCATTAGATGATAGTCTGATATTTTGTGTGTAATTGGTCGAGTAAACGTTAGGCTCGAGTGGAACATTTGCCAAAAGGTAATTTCTCAAGGGTTATGTTTGTGCAACAGCTTAACTTCTTTTAGGTCTCTACTAAACTTAGCATCTTTGAGAATGATCTTTTTGCAATATTGCTTCCCAAAAAAGGTAGAGCCTCAACAATAACTACCAATTTAGGAGTCACCAAGTATGGAGGCTTAATACATACATGAAATGCTATGAATTTGAATGGTGACTCTGGCTGGAAAATCCCATCTTTCAACCATCTTTCAGGTCGGAAATCTTCAGCATCATTCCCCCAAATATAAGGCATTCTCCCCATTGCATAGGACACATAATTGACTTCATCTCCCTTTCTGATGTGAAATCCATCAGGAAGGATATCATCTGCATCTGCACATCTGCCATCCTGAATATTGACAAATAACATATTGCATGTGTCAAACGAAGACAGTAGAAATGAAAAGGAGTAATTTGGTTTTAATTTTGGAAAAAATGCAGTTTTTTGGACAAAATTTATACCACTGGGACTGCAGGATATAGCCTCAATGTTTCTGTCAATGCTGCATGAAGATAATGCATTTTCTCAAGGGCTTCTTCTGTAATACTTGCTACAAAATATTCCAAATGTTCCTTATCCTTCACGTTATTACCAATAACTTCTGTTATTTCCTCAACAACCTTTTCTTGTATTAAGGGGTTCTTGCAAAGCATGTAAAAGAACCATGAAAGAGTATTAGCAGTACTGTCTTTGCCAGCAAGCATAAAATTCAGTATTATATCTCTGAGATACTGATCAGTCATTTTCTCTGGATCCTTTTTGCTCTCTTCCAGAAACCTTGACAGTATATCCTCCTTATCAATCATGCAGAACAGACAAAAGATTCATTACAATGAGAGTTAAAAAGATTCTGTACTTTTAAGGATGTAATGTAAAGGTCTGGCATTCGTAACACATGAATAATATGAAATTAAGACTTACAGAATCGTGTTTCACTTCTAGCTGTTTGCGCCTTGATCGAATCAGTTCATCAACAAATTCATGGATGAATTTGATGTTCTTTTTCAGGAGAGCTTCAGAGCCGATATTGAAGTATCTCTTAAGCTTCCAAAAGGGATCAACATAACGCCAATATATCAATTCATTAGAATCATCAAAGGCCTTGATGAAACTGTCATCATCTTCTCCTGATCCATCCAGGCAGTTCAGATCAACTCCAAAGCCAACTTTGAATATTGAATCCAGGGAACATCTCATTAGCAGTTCCTACAAGTATGGTGCATATAAAGTTTTATGATAAAACTGACTGTTGAAACAATACTGATAGTATTAATTTGTTTAGAGACTGCTAAATTTGAGGGGAAGTGCTAAAAAAAATTGTTCAATGACTCACTTGAATATCAAAAACTTGGTTGGAGATATAGAACTGAAAAACTTTTCTGACCAATTTGTCTGCTCTTTTTCTGAAAACAGTGCAACTAAAGTCTCTCAAGACCCTAGCTGAGAACTCCAGACTTGCAAGCTTTCTCTGCTGCTTCCATTTCTCACCATCCACAGCAAAAATCCCTTTTCCAAACAAATCCATTATTATCTCTTCATTACGCTTGCCTTTAGAATACTTGCCAAACTTTGTCTTAAGAATGTGCTCTACATTTCTTGAATCAGTGGTGCATATTATACTCTCGTCCGGAGCTAAAAATCGGGAGGTAGGAAGTTTCTTGGCGACTTCTGTTTGATAATCATAGAGTCTTTTGAAGTAGAAGAGTTGGTGAAACACAGTTCCTATCACTGGTGCAGATTTGGGGTTTCTGATTGACTTGCCAGCATAGATCCTTAGTATTAAAACTAAGAAGGAAGTGACAGAAATGACACAGAGAGTTCCTATACAGGTGAAGATGGTATAGAGGAAATCCATTTTTTTTCTAGTATGGAGAGGTGACAACCATCTATTTAAAACTCAGCCTTATAGTACTCAAAATCCTGTAGATACTAAGAGAATATGCCCGAGAAGATTCACCAAATTTTTATTCTTGGCAGATTTTTCAAACTGTGTTCTTGGAGTGAACTGTTAATTTGGAATCTTGCAGTATTGGACTGGGAAATATTAATCCTAGTCACATCATAGAAAATGAATTGAAAGAAAGTTACAGAATAAAGAAAAGAACATGTCCTTATCATGTATACCGTAAGGTTTATCTCGCCTGCAACTGCTTCTCCTGTTTTGGCTTGCTTGTCCTCATATCACCAATTGGCATGCCCTTGTATCTCTATGCTTTCTTGATTACTATAATTAACCTGTGTAACAAGAGTATACATAAACTAATCAAGAATCATGCATAGTCATTACAAAAATGTTTCTGTTGTAGACTTTTCTCAAGGTAACATTTAGAAATTGAGGCATAGTTGATTGATTGATAGCGAACTGCATATAAGGAGCACATATGTATTCACTTCCAATTTTCTGTGTGTCAGATACTTACTCAATTCTTTGTTTTATTGTTAAAGTTTTAGGCTAACACTTTCTCCCTCTTTTTTTCCTCTGAAAAAATTCTTGAGTGAAAGTCTGAAGCTGATATTAGTTCCCTGTGAGTTAGGCAGCTTCTGTGCTTCAATTGTTCTATGCCTTGTTTGTCCATCCTAGATATTCGTTCTTGGATGGAGGCTCAAAATCAGCCTCATGAAAATCTTTATAGGGCATAATCTGATCTAGTTGATAAATTTTTTTTTGTCTCAATAATATCAAAAGTTCTTGACTTAACTCAACGTGTGTTATATGTTTCAGTAACAAAATAAAAAAAGCATCAAACTGGATTTGGTAGTTTGTTATGATTTCATCTCTTACTTTTTAGTTTGTTATTCAAGTTCACCAAAAAAAAAGGACAGGTTACAAATATGAAATTCTGAGTGCAACATCTCGCTAATATGAAGTCATTCCTTATTTTTAAGACGAAATCAATAACATGATGAAACATTATCATCCACTTCCTTGACACAAGGTTGTGACTAGTTGAACTTATAGTTCACATGGTGGAATGGACAGTCATTATATATGTAGATAAGCTTTAAAGATGACATGTTATACATTGAAATCTGAAAGTGGCTTTCTGTATTTCATGCTTCTATTAATCCTCTTCTTGGAACTGCACGAACCTGAAGCCCTTCTTTGATGTGGAGGGTAAACATGGTTCTATAAGTTACTTCTTTCGTGTCATCGGACGATTTGAACCTGAAGAAATGGAGAAGAGCCATTGATAATATCTTCATTTGTCGATAAGCAAAATCTTTGCCTAGACACAATCTTGGACCAGCCTGTAAATTTAATAAACCAATGAGTTACAGAAATGATAATATGATGAAGCCCCTGTGTCAAGGAAGATTTAGCAGTATCCCTTATGGTATTCTAATCCCTTCACAGGTTACTTATAATACAGGCAAAAGAAGATATATATTCTTTGGATCAAAGTACACTACCATCTTCGCCATTATAAATTAACATAAGCATCAAAAGCCCTTGGTGAGATCTTGACAAGCTCTCTGCTAAAACTTCACATATTTAAGCATAATCTCCTATTTTTCCGACGGTAAAGATATGACACTTGGGGCTAATTCAACCCTAAATGCTAGTTCATGAGATGAGGAATGCACAAGTCCATATAAGCAGACTACGAGTCCATTCCCCACAAACCAAAGTGGGACTCTAATCCACTCTAATATTGACGATACTTAACAGCAACTATATAGCCTCAGGGATCACCTATATCAGTTCAGGAGACACTACATATGAAGGTATACTATGATTACAAGTTACAGCATACTCTTACATGGAATGTTATGAATTTGAATGGTGACTCTGGCTGGAAAATCCCATCTTTCAACCATCTTTCAGGTCGGAAATCCTGAGCATCATTCCCCCAAACGTAAGGCATCCTCCCCATTGCATAGGACATATAATAAACCCCATCCCCTTTCTTGACGTGAAAGCCATCAGGAAGAACATCATCTGCATCCGCACACCTGCCATCCTGCATATAAACAAATGACATGTTGCATATGAGAGATAGATACAAAAAAGAAGAAATGATAGATGTATTTTGTTTTGCATACATTGCAGTTTTATGGACAGAAGTAGTACCACTGGGACAGCAGGGTATAGCCTCAAGGTCTCTGTTAATGTTGCATGAAGATAATGCATTTTCTCGAGGACTTCTTCTGTAATACTTGCTACAAAATCATCCACACTTCCATTATCCTTCATGTTATTGCCAATAACTTCTCTTATTTCCTCAACAATCTTTATTTGGATCAAGGGGTTCTTGCAAAGCACATAGAAAAACCATGAAAGAGTATTAGCAGTACTATCTTTGCCAGCAAGCATGAAATTCAGTATAATATCTCTGAGATACCGATCAGTCATTTTTTCTGGATCCTTCTTGCTCTCTACTAGGAACCTTGAGAGTATGTCCTCCTTATCCATCTTGCAGAACAGAAAGAACGTTAATAATCATGTTAGACGAGATTCTAAAATAGCTTTTGAAGATGGAAATGCTTCATTTCTATCTTTCCAAACATTTTAATAACTAAGACTTACAGAATCTTGTTTCATTTCTAGCTGTTTGCGCCTCGTTCTAATCAATTCATCAACGAATTCTTGGATGAACTTGATGTTCTTTTTCAGAAGAAATTCAGATCCGATGTTGAAGTATCTCTTAAGCTTCCAGAATGGATCGACATAACGCCAATATGACAATGCATTTGAATCATCAAAGGCCTTGATGAATTCGTTATCATCTCCACTTGATCCATCCAGGCAGTTCAGATCAACTCCAAAGCCAACTTTGAATATTGATTCCAGGGAGCATCTCATTAGCAGTTCCTACGAGTATGCTGACATATTTTAGTGATAAAAATTGGCTAATGATATAACCTGGAAATTCATAAAGTTCTTCAATGACTTACTTGCATATCAAAAACTTGGTTGGCAAGAGAGAACTCAGAAACCTTGCTGACCAATTTGGCTGCTCCTTTTCTGAAAACTTTGCAGCTAAAGTCTCTCAATACTCTAGCTGAGAACTCAAAACTTGCAAGTTTCCTCTGCTGCTTCCATTTCTCACCATCCACCGCGAAAATCCCTTCACCAAACAAATCCATTATAACCTCTTGATTTCTCTTTCCTTTAGAGTACTTGCTAAAGTTTGTCTTAAGAATGTGCTCAATATTTCTTGAATCAGTGGTATATATTTCACTCTGCTCCGGCGCCAGAAGCCGGAAAGTAGGAGTCTTTTTAGCCAATTCTGTTTGATAATCATAGATTATGTTGAAGTATAAGAGCTGATGGAACACATTCCCTTCCACTGGTGCATATTTGGGGTTTCTGATTGACTTGCCAGCATAGATCCTTACTGTTAAAACTAATGTAGGAGTCACACAAATCAACAAGAGAATAGCTATGGAGATGAAAATGGTATAAAGAACATCCATTTCTTTTTTCTGATGGAGAGATGATAACCATCTCTATGCACTATATACCACACAGATGCAAAGTTAAATCAAGAAAATTGATCACACATCACATAGAAAATGTATTGACAGAAACTTGAAGAATAAACAATAGAATATGTCACTGTTCCTTTGGAATATGATTTAATAATACATTTTATACTATTATAGGTTGGCCCCCCTGTGGATTTTTTAATATAGAAATGGGTGTTTCATCATCACACGTAGCCTAAGGTTATTCTAGTCTGCAATTTATGCTGATTTTGCTTGCTTGTCCTCACACCAGCAATCACCATCCTTAATTCCTATGCTTATGAATACTAATTTAACCGATGAATAACGCTGAATAGAGTGTATTGGAATATGCATGTATGAGTAATATTTATTTATTTTAGCATGATGTAGTATTTTTAAATTATAATTATTTTAATTATGACTTATTAATGTACAATACTTATTTTATGCGAATTCATTTCTAAAAGTATTTTCTGTATTCTCTTTTTAAGAAATGTCTTGTATAGTTATATTTTGATAGAAGCAAACAATATATTTGGAGCAAGTTACTTATATGTTTGCATCCATGAATTACTTTATTGAGAAAACTCGAATTTTTATTAGTTTGATTTGATTTATAAATTTAACGAAATAATATAAATAATTTGATTTAAAATCTAAAAAATTCAGACCTATCAATCATGTACGCTCTTACTACCCGTCTAGACGGTCTACCCTATCCATAATATTTTCTTAGATTATATGTAAGTATTTTTAGAATAATATTTATATTCACATACTAAACACAAAAAAGCCACTTACTTTCGAGAAAGAATATATATTTATATAAATAGTAGTAATATTACATAACAAGGAAGTAAAATAAAATGGGAAGAATAATCAAGAAGGAACTTGATTTTCAAGCTACCAATAGAATTTCTGTAAAGTAAATCTGGAAATAGTCAGTCCTCCATTAATCATCCTTTAAAATTCATAAAAAAAATAAACAATTTCTTGAAGATCATATTTACCTCAAAACCAAACAGGACCTTAAGATGCTAAATTTTCCGATTCTCCATTAATACAAATTCCTCCCAAATGAGTTTTCTTAAAGACTTGGCAGAAACCCTAAGCTCGATCTTCTCTGATACTCCATCATCGCCTTCGTCTCTGAACCATCCTCAGGAGAACTCCGGTGATCGGACGATGGATGGCGTTGCCACCGGGAACGAACGCACGGCGTATAAGCTGAAAGGCTACTTTGAATTGGCCAAAGAAGAGATCGCCAAAGCTGTTAGAGCTGAAGAATGGGGCTTGGCTGATGAAGCAATTGCACATTACCATAATTCTCAAAAGATACTCGCCGAAGGCATTTCTACTCCGGTTCCTTCCTATATAGCTTCTAGGTATTCAGTTTTTCATCCTATTTCAATCGAGGCAAGAGATTTTACTGTATTTATGTATTTTATTGTTTGATTAGAGGTTTAGTGATACAGTATTTGAATAAAAGACTGGGACTTTGACAGAGGCAAATTCAAGAATTTAAATCAGATGCTGCGGAGTCTACTGCAGACACTATTCTTTTTGTGACCGTGAGTGCGAACTTTCTAGAAGTGTGTATTTAAAAGAAATTACTCAACTACACACTTACGGTTCAACCCAAGAGCAGGGGGTATGATCAACCTTAGCTCATTGTTTGCTTAAACTAGTTTAAATTGAAGGTGTATAGGTCATCTAATTTGCTCAAGTGGTGGTGGTGTTAGGGAATATATAAATAATATAATGCTCAGTGATTGAGTGGAACAGATATAGAAGATTATATAGTCAACCCCGACTAGTCTGGGTTTGGGATCGAGGTGTATTTGATTGATTATTTGGTAGGGCTGGGAATCTGAAGAAGGAATGAAGAGCAATCTCTTTTACCTCTAGAATTCTATTTAAATATCTAAATATAACTTGTGACATTTGATTGTCATGTCACATTTTATCCATTAAAATCTTTAGTGTGGCAAAATGGAGAGATTACTGCATCTGCAACTATATTTTACAACAACTATATGGTTTTGCATCATGGGTAGCCTGGAGAACCATGACCAGTCTGTTTCATATATGAGTTGGCTTCTTTCTTTATCTCAGACTAACAGAGCTCACACTCTTCTAAATATGAGTTTTATGTGGATAGTTGTAATTTTTTTTTTTTGGATATTGTTTCTTCTATTTATGTGCAAATTGAGCATCATATGCTAATCCATTGAACACCAAGATCCTGCAGTTCTGTTGGTGTAGACTGGATTCGTGTGCCTTAAACAATTGGCAATCTCTTTTTCTTTCGGTAACAGGAGTTCCTCTGATCTTTCATAAGATATTTTTATTTTTGAAGTAGAATGTCGACTAGTTTCATGGGATGGAAAATGAGTAGATTTCCTTCACTTTACCTAGAAAAATGAACAGAAAACCTTATATGATTAAAGTAACATGTGGAAATAAATCATTATTTTCTGTCTCCTCTTGTATTTTTTAAACAGTGAACACGAGAAAGTGAAATCATATCGTCAAAAGATATCAAAATGGCAGTCTCAAGTTTCAGACAGACTTCAGACTCTAAGTCGGCGAGCAGGTTCAAAAATCTTATCTTTCTTGCATTGAGTTTTTAATCATATCTTAGTAGCAGGGAGAATAACTAAGTACTTCTCTTTCTTCCCTTTGCCTGCACTCTTGTTTCAGGTGGCACACCTTCAGTCAAGGTATGAACTGCTGTGAAGTGTAAGCTTGTTCCGTTGTAGACAATTTCAGATGTTCATTTTAAGGAAACAAATACATCTTTTCCAGCCAATGGAATGCAGTTCAATTTTCTATCTCGTCCTCTTGGCGCATCCTAATAACTCTACTCCTTTTTAAATTTTGTGACTTCAGCACAAGCTCTTGGTGCTAATGTGGAGCAATATTGTTGCTCAAAGTGGTTTTTTTCCTTAATGCATCTACTTGCTGTCATTTTTATATTTCCTTTTTCTTTTTTTCCAGTTTCTAAGTTCCTCATAATTATTTTGTTAATAGAAGTAATGTAATTAGTTATTCACATGCCAGGCGTTGTGAAAGAAACCATGTTTAACTGGACTGTTATAAGACAAAAGAGAAGACGTAGGGCATGCGATGTTGCTACACTAGCACTTATGTGGACCGTGTGGGGGAGAGGAATAGAGAGACTTTGTACACTTAAGGAATAAATTCTGTCCCTTATATCCTTTTGGTGCCCCCATGAGGCTCCTATTTGTACAGATGAGATGATTAGTGACATTCGTAGAAAACCATTTCTGTTTATATGGTTTTCTATTTTTGGTCTACTTGTATGCGGGCATGTTTTTTTGCCCTTCCTTTAATTAAAATTATAACCTTATCAATTAAAAAAGGATAATCCGCCTTCTCAAAAAAATAAAGGATAATCCTCCTCATTTGTCACTTGAAAGGAACTAAAATACTCTCACATACGGGTTTTAAATAAGCCTAGCTCAATCTTTAACTAGCTCGGTTTGGTTTTGATGCAATTTTTGATGATAGATAGTGCTAGGACAACTTGATTTAGAAAGCTTGAACATAGCTCGATCACTTTGCCTGTAAAGGGTTCAACTACCAAGTCATATTCAATGGAGAATACTTGAACTCCTAGGGACAAGACTAGAAAAGGAAGTTTATTACAAGTCATTAGGTAGACTTTTAGTATGGCTGTGAAATTCTTTTGAAATTAATTTTGTTATCATAGAATGTTTTATGAGCTGAGAAGACATTTGACACCAAGCTGGTTTGATTCATGGTACCCCTACTCCCACTGGGGTGTGTACTTTGAATTGAAGCCGGAGTTGGAGATGTTGTGAATGTCTGGGATTTAAGTTGCAAAATGGGTTAAGTATCATGTGGTCATAATGGGTTTTGGCATGTTCTCCCCAGCAGTCAGAACCACAATCCCAAAGAGTGGCTGTTTCACAATCAAGTTCGTCTGCTCGAAAAGGAGCATCTCTATCTGCACCTTCTTCAGGGAAAGTCAGCTCTGCTACGAGGGTTCCAAGTAATAGAATATCAAGTCATAAACCTTCACAGGAATCTGCCACTGCTGATGGGTCTGATCCAAAGTTGGTTGAGATGATAAATTCTGTAATTGTGGATAGAAGCCCGTCTGTTAAATGGGAAGATATTGGTGAGAAGCCAAAGTTTCATCATCTCCATTGCCTCCAAGCCCTATGTGATGATTTGTTAAATATTTTAATCATAAATTTGGTTTTCCTGCAGCTGGCCTTGAAAAGGCAAAGCAAGCTCTTTTAGAGATGGTAATTCTACCAACCAAAAGAAAGGACCTCTTCACTGGCTTGAGAAAGCCTGCTAGAGGTGTTGCTTCTTTACATGAATAACATTATAACACACCCAGGAACTCTTTTCTGACAAGGTTGATGTTATTGTATTACAGGTCTACTTCTTTTTGGCCCACCAGGTACTGGAAAAACCATGCTTGCCAAAGCAGTAGCATCAGAGTCACAAGCAACCTTTTTCAATGTGTCTGCTTCTTCGTTAACATCAAAGTGGGTGTGTGTCTCTTTTATTGTGTGCCTTTAAATTGACTTTGTTTTGTATCATTTTGATATACAGAGCTTCACATTATGACAGGTCGGAGAGGGTGAAAAGCTTGTCAAGACATTGTTCATGGTTGCCATTTCCAGGCAGCCATCTGTAATTTTCATGGATGAGGTGAGACTTTATGGGAAATTGTTATGTCAGTTGATGCCTCGGGTAATATACTTGATTCAATGTTTTCTTATTAGGCCTTCATTTAATCAATACAAGAAATACCTACAAAAAAAATTAGAGTCTTCATCAATTCTCTTCTTCACTTATATTAGGGCCATTCTTCAAATAAATAATGGAAATAGGGCAATAGTTGACTCTTCACACTTATCCCATCTCAGCTTTCATTGAAAATCTCGTCAATAAAATGATCAAACACTGGTCGCTTCTCCTTTCCTCTCTCTTCAAACTGAGAAAGAAGAAAGAAAGACCGAGTTTTGCAGATCTGCTGCTTCAGATTCATTGAGCTGGGTGCTGACTTATCTAAATCTAAAAAAGGAGAAAACTATTTCATTTGTATCTGATGGGTTAACTGGAGAGAAAACTGAATTTAATAATGAACTGCCTTTCATCAAGTTTTTTTACCGCCTTGCCGGTTTTCGAAGTATAATGAACTCAGCACATCTATCAGCTAGTGAAGCTTTCTTGGTCAAGTCCTGGATAGACCTATGTAGGATTTGCATTGCGATTTTGGGAAGTAATTAGCTATGTATACATTATCTGTTTGCCTCAAACTGATTGGCATTCTCACTTTCACCTTTGATATTTGTGTAATATATCTTTTTCTTTATTATGTTTATGAAGTCTCTTGCAAACTTTTTCTTTACTCTGTGTATGAAGTCTCTTATAATTCTTGCAGATACTCTGGGTGCATATTTTTTCTCTTACCTTATCCAAAACAAAAAGACAATCAGTAATTTTTTTTTGGACTTTGCTGCTTAAAAATACATATCTGTCACTAGGCTTGCTTGGGTCTTTCATTGGTAAAGACATCTGAATGATACATCAGTCACTTATTGGTACCAATACTTACTTTCAGATTATCTTTGTGGTTAACAGATAGATAGTATTATGTCAACTAGGACTACCAATGAGAATGAAGCAAGCAGAAGGTTGAAGTCAGAGTTTCTAGTTCAGTTTGATGGGGTGACATCAAATTCCGAGGGCCTGGTAATTGTAATTGGTAAGCTTCATGCTCAATATGAACTATTATCTTAGTTATGGTGCCTCAAACAGATAGCTGTTCCTGCTAAGCTAACTGATGCTCATGGCATAGTGTTTTCTGAGTGTAAGCATCTGTCAAAAGATCATTTTCTTCTTCTCTAAGTGGTCATATATGACATCACTTGTAGTAATCTCCGAGCAAGTAATTCCTACAAGACACAAGTCAACATATAAAGGAAATGCCACAAAAGCGCCAATTTTTTTGGTGGCACCATTAAAGTGCCGCTGCAAAGGAAATCTTCCGAGGGATATACTGTCTATGACGATAAATTATCAGAAAAAGATAAAAAAGAAACTAATGACCTAAAACTTGTAAGAATGTAATTTATATAATCAAGTCTGTCAACAACTTATTCCAAATTATCAGAAAACATAAAAAACCTAATGACCTAGTATGTTTAAGTCATCATGCTTTATCTTGACACTGCAAAGATGCGAACTTCTGGTATTTCATATACATCAAGTAAGAGCCGTTTTTTCCAAACCTTTTCTAGTATGAAACTCCAGTATGCTAGGATTTTAAATGTAAAACTGCTTCTTATGCAGTGACTTCTAGAGGGGTCCTCCGAAATTTTTATTGCTAATCAGTTCCTTCTTTTCAACTAAATCCCTACCGCCCATGGAAATTTGAGAACTACAGATTTTCATGATTGTTGAGCTTATGTTATCAGTCTACAGAAGTTGATCTTTTTGGTCCTTGTATTTTCTAGCTACTCTCTAGCTACTGTGACTGAGTTGTCTGCCTATGCTAATGCAGGTGCAACGAATAAGCCACAGGAGTTGGATGATGCTGTTCTAAGGAGATTGGTAAGTGCTGTTACTTGATCATAATGCAATTTGTCTCTGAGAACATAGTTATGGTTTCATCATTGGCTTGCTTGAACATTTTTTTTTCCTTGCGTCTGATAGGTAAAATAGATTACTGAAACAATCGAACTTTTGGCCAAAAGCATCCCTAAACTATACCCTCAACTTAAACTACATCCTTAAATTATCCTTCTTAACAGAAAACATCACCCAAGTATTTAAAACTTAACCACTTTCATCCCTGTGTTAAAATTTTTGTCAAATAATTAATGGATTTTACACAAAAACATGTGCAGGTCACACTGCTCTCAGAAAAACTTTAAAAGATTAATTTTTTTGAGACCCTCATTTGCTGGAAAGAAATAAAGTTAGGATGGTGTTGCAAAGTTAGATGTATCACGGAATGAAAAGATTTTTTTAATCTTCGGTGATTTAGGGAGTTTTGCTGAGAGTAGTTTAAATACACATATTTTTGTATGAATTCAGTTAATTCTTTGTTAAATTTTAACAGAAGGTTGGAAGTTGTTAAGGTTTAAATACTTGAAGGATGTTTTTTGTTAAGAAGAATCATTTGAGGATGTGATTTAAGTTTGTGGTATAGTTTAAAGCTGTTTTGGCCAAAAACTCGACACAAGTGTATGGGCATAAATATAATGGATATACAACTATACTTCACCACTACATGTTTGAGTTTTCTCTTGAAAAAATCCACATAATTCTTGTGTAAGAAACCTTTACTTGGTAAAAAAAAATCTCTGGTGTAAGAAGTTACGTAGGCCCATCTTTTCTAATGAGTCATTAAAATAACCCAATTAATTCTTGATCAAAGAGAAACCCGATTAACATTTTCAGTTCTCACTTTGATATCCTTGCAGCATCTTACTTGGAAATTCAAATTGGACTGTTGGAATACGTATGTTGCATTACTAAAATACTTGGCTCTAGAAACTAAGTGAATGATCTCAATCTGTCCAGCAGCTTATAGTTAGAAGAGAAATTAGTAGAGAAACTAAATTGTAAATTGCATCACAAGCTGTCCCTTGTTAAAAAGTAGTTTCCTTTCCTTGTCTCTGATCACAGAAGCTTAATTAGTATGTTACGGGAGAGTATATTTCTAATTTTCGAGAACAATGTGACTTGTTCTTTAAAATACTAAAGAAAGGAGTAGAGATGGAAGATTATATCAGCCAACATTCAGTGGACTATGGAAATCAGAGGTGTTTTGAGGAAAAGCAGAGCAGCATTCAGAAATTTAAGTTAAATTGTTTAGCTTTATAATATTTTTTGGTGTAAACAGGTAGTGTTAGATCAATCAGAAGACATAATACAGCTATAGACTGGTTGTAATCCAGCAAAGTATAGGATCAAATGTAATTACAACTGACAACACTTTGAAGGTGGACTACTTTTTTTGATGTAGTATACGTGTGGATGTATAGATTAACTGTTACCTTTCTCCCAAAAAAACGCTAAAGGAATCTACAGGGTTTTTTTCTTCTTAATGTGCTGTTACTGTTTGAAACAGGTGAAAAGAATATATATACCTCTACCTGATGCTAGTGTTAGAAGACAACTTCTGAAACACAGACTAAAGGGGAAAGCTTTTTCTTTGCCTGGTGAGATTATATTTGAAAACTAGATACATTATTATTTAGTTGATGTTGTCTAACTACTGTCTGTTTATAGACCATAAAGTAGAGTTCCAATTAAATGAGGAGTTTTAAGCCCTTAATGATTTTAATGAAGTCAGTTGATGCTTAGTTCTATGTATTTGTCTTATCCGTATGTTTCAGTCACCAAGACCAATCAGCAATATGACATGTGATCTGTAGATAACCGCTAAATACATGCATGATAATGTGCAAGTTCTTAATCAAATATCAAATGTATAAAATTAAACAAAAGAGAAAAGGAAAATGTGAAAGACCCTTTTGGGTGGCCCAATTGATTGAGCTTGGGACTTCCATGTTGGAGGTCTCAAGTTCGAATGCCCTTGCTTTTGTTCGAATGCCCTTGCTAGCAAAAGCAAGGGGTTTACCTTCTGGGTCGAGCCTGGTGCGAGCTACCTCTCTTGCATAGTAGCGGAGGTTTTACCTTGTGTGCACCCCACGGGTAGCGGTTGCTGGTTTCCCTTGTCACCAATTTTTTTTTTTTGAAAGAACTTGAAGTTTTTGTCTAATTTAAACTGGGTATAAGGAATCTCTTTTAATTCATCACCCCTCACTTCTTTTCCTTCCATATCAGCTTGGAAAAATTCTATTACGATTGAACTTGTCTTATATACTTCTGAGCAAAAAGTAAGATAGTTGCAAGCTAGAGTTCTTATAAATACTCCCTCCGTTTCAAAATGGATGACTTTCTTTTCTTTTTAGTCTGTTTTAAAAAGAATGACCTCTTTCTTTTTTTGGTTACATTTTTATTTCAACTTTCCATGTGGTATGTTTAAGGCCACAAGATTAAAGGGCAGTTTTGTGTATTTCACATAACTTTAATTTAGTACCACAAGATCCAAAGTCTTCTTTATTTTCTTAAACTTCGTGCCAAGTCAAACCAGGTCATTCTTTTTTAAAATGGAGGAGTATTAGTTTATCACCAAGTTTTCCCTACTACAAAAATCTTGTGCAATCACCACTGGCTTAAGGCTGATGAAAAGAAAATGCTTTACTTCTGTTCTTCATTTCCGTGACACAAGTTTGTCCTCTATGTGAAATAATTATACTATGCTATCAATAAGTTTAATATGCGTTATGGAGTTATCTTTCTTAAGGTTACTGATAATCCTGCTCGAACTGTTTTTCTTATACAAATGTTTATGAGGATGACAGAGGGTCAAATCTTATCATTTGAAGGACTTCTTATTATATCGGAGAGACCGTTCCTTTTTATTTTGTGAAATATTAAGCAGAGTCAGTTTAGTTGCCTGCTGTTGCAATGTAATCTAATTCAGTTTTCTTTACTGGATGATAGGTGGAGATCTAGAACGACTGGTGAGAGACACAGAAGGTAAAAAGTGCTAAAAGTTTTGCTTAGAAATTCTCTTAGCTGAACATCTGATTTTTAAGAAACCCTGATCAACATATCTCGTTGTTATGTGAAGTTCATCTGAAATCTACATTTCCACCAGGGTATTCTGGAAGTGATCTTCAAGCCTTATGCGAGGAGGCTGCAATGATGCCAATCAGAGAGCTTGGTGCTAACATTCTCTCTGTCCAGGCAAATCAGGTGGTAACTCTTCTGGAGCTTACACTGCTACCTCTTGAATTTGTTTTGCCACTATAGTTAATGATTCCACATGCAATGATAAGCATAATGCCAGTAGTAGTTGAAATACTGCTCCTAAGATGTTCTTATGTTCTTCTATCGAGTTGAATTCTGAAGATTACTCTTCCCATGCTCATTTAGGTACTCCATCCCGGTCACAATTTATTGGACTCACTTCTCATTTCGGGTTATCTCAAAATATTTGACTCTTTGTCATGAAGTTTATACAGATTAAATTATTGTCAAGAATTAAATTCGTTTGAAATTTGAACTCTCTTCTCAGTCAACTTTGTCAGATACAGGACCGAAGGAGTATCCATACTCCTAATTAGTTCCCTTGAGAAACCCGAGGTTGATGTCATTTGTCTGAGATGTCAGTTTGAGTTTGTTATACACCTTTGGATGCACTATCTGAAATTGGATAGCATGATATCTTAAAAGCTTAGTGAAGAGGAGGGTTAAGACAATTTGGAAATAGCATTTTTAAAGCTCTATGTTGGCACTATAATTCTATAATTTGTTTGATTCTATCTCCGAGGGTTGAAATTATATTTATATCTTTGATAATTCTGGCCACCAAATATAATGACCAACACTTGAAAGCAAGTCAGTTTGCGTACCAACCATGTTAATCGATGAATAACATTGTGGGTATTGACTCTTCCAAAATTGGTGTTTCTTATTTTATAGGTGAGGGGTTTAAGATATGGAGATTTTCAGAAGGCCATGACAGTGATTAGGCCTAGCCTGCAAAAGAGCAAGTGGGAGGAGCTTGAAAAGTGGAATCAAGAGTTTGGTGCAAACTAAAGGCTCGACTCTTGAACATTCTATGCAATCTCAAGTAAGCTAAAACAAAAGTTCACGACAGGCCAGCAGATGATAAATTTGTTTCTTGGGCAGATCAGCATCCTGACTGTACGTGTACATACTTAAGAATTTAAATTTGATTATTAGCCAAAATTTGGAGTATATAATTCTGAGGGAATCATGTCTAGATGATCACGACATGTGTTCTGTGGTTCCCCGTTATGTGTAGACGTTTGTATAGGAATTGACAGTTGAATACACACTTTTGTTGTAGTGATGATGCTCTTAGCTCTTCCTACACTTTACCATCAAATAAATTCATTTACGAAGGGAGTGTGATGTATAACCTCCTCTATGACATGAAGCTATATAGAAGAGGGTGATTTTTGAAATTTATATTTCATATAAATATGTTGAATTATGACATGCAAATGGTAAAAGAAATTTAGTATATCCGATCACTATGGTAAAAATAGCAATGATGGATCATCAACTCCAGTACAATGTCTTAAAATTTGAACAAGTAAAAAATAATATTTTTAAAATATATTTTGGAATTTCAAGGTGTAAAACTGAAGTCCAGGACATTATCTTTTGTAACTTAAAACATGTGGACTCGAACATAAAATAATTAGGTGTTTTATAACATTTTAATTTTGTATAGCAGGATCAACTCAATTAACGTTGGGTGATGAATATATTTTACTGACTATTTTTAAAGAAGGAAGTCATGTTACTTGAAATCTCATATCATTTTTTTTTATATGAATATTTTTTAAAAAGTTGGTAAAAAATTCACACATACAAATGAAGTTAGAGTATCTACTTTCTTTACTATATGCATTTTTCAAAATTGGCATATTCAAAGACATAAATATTTAAAGTATGAACTTTAAACTATAATTTATACTTTAAAATAAAATAAAATAAAATTGTATAGCGCTAAATTAATAATAATTCAACTATACACTTTGAAACTTTCCACTTTTTTTTATATAAATTATGATAATTTAATCAAGACAAAAACAATAAAATGATCAGGTTATAACTAAAATATACAATTTAAACTATCAAGATTAATACTGTAGAATACAAGGTAAGCAATTGAGTAGCTGAAATGTTAATGTATATAGATACTACTAGAAGCCTAGAACACCATTTTAAGACATGTTGATTGCCCAAAAATCTATCAGTAAACAATAGCAATACTTTTAGTTACCTATTTTATGATATTGATTTTGGTAAATTCAATCTCACAAAATTTAAAAATCTTTCATTTGTTTCTAAGTTTCTCACCCCTTGCATTCTGTATTCCTTTCTATACGTGTACACCACTTTATAGATCATATCTTGGCCTTTTTTATGTCTATCTAAAAAAAATAATTAAATATCTTGTTAAACTTTTTTTTTTTGGTCTCAATTTATGTGAAGGTATTTAAATTTTGGAAATAAAATTAATACTCTAGGTTCTCAAAGAGAAAAGAGTTATTTGAAGCTCACATAGACATGTTCAATTTAATTTAGTTTGCATACGGAATATGTGTTTAGTAAAATTTGTTCAATCACCGATGTATATTAGATATTTAGGAGTAAATAATATATACTTACTCATCTAATAATCATCAGACAAGCTGTTGACGGTAGCAACAACTTAGATAACAAGTATAGCAAGAAAGAACTCTTAAATATAAAAAAAGAAGTGAAAGGAAGTCCACAAAAGAAGAGCCTTTGAATAGGTCATGTTCTCTAATATGTTAAGAACTCTGTGTAAGGAATCAACAAAAGCAACATATTTGTTGCTTTTTTGTGTAGACAAATTTTTTTTTGTTACTTTCCTACACAGAGCTTTTCGCATACTAGAGAACGTGATCTCCACAAAGCGCTCATCTTTTATGTCTCTCGTTCACTTCTTTTTGCATTTGAGAGTTATTTCTTATTCAAATTATCATAATAAGATATATGACATATAAATTTTTTGTTGAATGTGTGTGAATCTCAAACATGTAAATTTGTAGAAAAGATAACCAAAAATGAGACATAAGTGCACAAATTTATATATATATATATATATATATATACCATGTTGCCCATGGTTCAAGGACCTAATGACATTAATTATTATAGCAATTGATTATGTTTCCTTATAATATGTAGAATAATATTCATATTTGAATATACTATTATTTTAAAAGTGAGTAAAAAATAAACTATGATTAGATTTCTTTCATTATGAAACACAACTTCAAATTACGTTTCAAATTTTCACAATTAAATACTGATTTTCAAATAAAGTGAAATTTATTAGAAAAAATGTGAATCATAATTTTTTATAGTCAAATAGATAAATTAGAAGGTAAAAAAATGAGCACCACACAAGTAACTCTTTTTTTTTTCTTCATGTCAACAAAAAAGAAAACATAGTTGCTACAACGACAAAAAAATTGTCTTTTTGAATTTTTGAGTATATCTTACCATTGAAAATTAATAGAACATTTTAAAAAAATTTGTTCATTCACTTTAATTTATCTTTTATATTAAAAATATTTTTCACTTTCAGCATATCAAGAGATTTTTTCATGTCTTACCTTCAACATTAATTACTTAATCCACAAATTATTTTTTGAAAATCAAGAATTATATATCAACTCATATAAAAATTGTGATAAAATATCTATATAATTATTAATCTAAGAAACATGTAAAATTTAAAATGGACAAATAAAATAAATGATGTAAGTATAAAATATAAATGAAGCCAAAAAAAAAAAGCACCAGAGAGGAGAATAAGTAGGCAACACAAGCCGACATGTTCACATTGTTTTGCCTGTTTATTCCCCCTATATATATATATATATATATATATATATATATATATTGTCATTGTATGAAAGCTCAAAGGTGCTCAGAGACAAGAGTGTTGTTGGCTTTGGTAGATTGCTTCTCACTATTACATTCTAGATTTTAGTCAGCAACAAATTTTGAAAAATATTTTTTGGGACAACATAAAAGAAAGCTGAAATATTATCTTCAATGTGGAGGCCATGTATAGAAAGAATAAAAATTTCAATGTAGGAATGAAAAATTAAGGAACAAAGAGAGGCTTTTATAATTGATATGAGGAGCTTTTACAAAATAAAACTTGACAATATAATAAATAACATTCCATATATATTGATTTACACATATTTGAATAGAAGTCAAAACTAAATCAAATCTATCAAATTTAAAAGAACCTACCAAAATATAATTTTATTAAGAAAATCATTATCATAAAATATGTAAATAATTAAGTGTTACAGTCCACATTCATTGAATTGTTCAAGTTTCAAATCTACCAATCTTAAAAGACATATCAAATCATAATATTAGCAAGAAAATCATTATTGTTAATAATATGTAAATAAATTGTTATTCTCTTTAGTCCATATTCAGTAAATTGTTGAGATTTCAAATCTCTCACTCTCAAAAATTTATTATAATCATATTCTTAATTAGCAAGAAAATCTGTATCATAAAATATGTAAACAGATTATTAGTCCCTCTGTAACGACCCGCTAGGTCGTTTTGAGAACTAGGACTAGTTTGACTCCTTTTGGAAAATTAAAGGGGGATATTTAAACTATTCGGTAACTACGAGTGCCTAATTGAGGAAATTTTTATTAAATTAGTATATAGTTAATAGTTAGTGGGTCATATATATAATTAATTTAATACCTTTATACTTGACCATGTATTGGATAAATTAGTGGGGTAATTTTATTAATGTATTTAGTTGGTAGTTAAAGAGGATAGTAGTGAAATAAATAGTGGGTCACTTTCACCACTCTTATAATTAGTTATATGATATTTAGGAAAAATTATTCTGTAAAAGGAAAATAAGGGTTTAGCCAAGAGAAATCATATCTGTAGCAGTCACGAAACGATTGTTAAACAAGATTGAAGCGTCGGTTTAAGGTATTCCATGAAATTTTCTTTCCTTTACAAAGAGATATTAATTGATAAGGTAGGAAAATTTATATTATCATGTTTCAACATAATCGAGTTACGATTGTTGTTAGCGTAGGAATTCAGGTTGACTAGTTAATCTGTTATTCTAGAGTTAATATATTGTATATAAGCATTCTAATTACTACCCACAAATTGCTAAGGTTGAGAGTTATAAATCCGATGTTGTTGTTGTTGGTATTGACTAGTTAAGGAATTAATTAACAAACTAGTATTATGTGATGAAGGATTTAGATATTAATTTAGTATGGGTGGCATCAGCCATCAGTTGCTGAATGATGGAAGGAAAAGATTGACAATTAAATTAAAATTATATATATATGGAATAAAATTAGAAGTGGGTTATTAATATTGATTATTTATCACTGATGGCTAATGGGAAGTGGGGAAATATACTAAGATTATGGCATTGAATGTATTATTATTAAAGGGATAGAAATTGGCCATATTAGTTTGGAGAAAGAAAGAACACAGTCTCGTTCACAGTGCAAATCGTTATTCTCTTATATTGTTTTTTTTTTTCTATCTATTTATCAAATTAGTTACTAGTTTTTAAGATATTGAGATAGGTAATTAAATATTAGGTGTATATTATATGATTTAACATTGAATCTAGGGTACTTGGAGAGGTTAAGGTTAAGTTCTTAGCTTGAAATTTGATGAATTGGCATATAAAATATACCAAGATTTGGCGTTTGATTAGAGATATGAGTGAGTTTAGGATCTATGATATACCTATAATAATTTGAATGTCCACAAACTCGCTTACTTATGAATATTGCATCATTGGTAGATCGTGAATATTCCAAAACTTAACGAAAAGGGGAAGGAACTATCTTGAGGATTCGTGACACGAGCTCGACACTTGAGGTATGTTAAGACTTTTTAGACTTGTTGAAGGACGTTTTCCTAATTCAAGATTAAAAATGGAAATAGACAAAGAGGTAAGGGAAAAAATGGTGGTCTCGTATCAATGGTGTGACGGGCATTGGTACGAGTACCGATGTTATAAAAAAAAAGAAAATTTCTATTATAGAATGTGGATTGAAATTTGAGAATGCCAAAGCATATGGGCATTAGCTGATATATTATTGACTTGAATTCCTTGTGTGATTGTGTTTTATTTATTTCATCCGTATAGTTGTGATAATTGAGGTGGGTATGTATTATGTTCATATTGATTGATTGAGATGCATCATCATCCCCTCTATTGAAATAATATTGTGCATATGCATAGACGTGAGACTGAGTATAAGTTGGGCACGTGGAGATCGTCCGTGCTGGGGATGGTGAGATGTTAAGATTGTAATTTGGGCACGTGGAGACCGTCCGTGCGAAAATTATTTGATATTATGATAGTGCGTTGAGATCGTCCGCACAGACACGTGGAGATCGTCCGTGTCGGTATATGGACCTCGCGAGTCCCCCATGGGTCATGAACTCTCGATGTATTTCCGAGGAGTATCATGTATATACGGTTGAGTGAGTACTGGGTATTCTGAGACATATCATTACATGGCATCATATTGCATTGCACTTCATCCCATCATTCATTCTTGATGACTATATGTTTCGTTGGTGTTTGGAAAATATTAAATGTTGATTTCCTTTATTGATGAAACTTAAATAGTAAGTGTAATATATATATATACTTGTACAATCTAAGAAATTATTTTCTTATATAACTCCCGTCACTACTTCTTCGTGGTCGGTCAATGAGACATATTGAGTACACGTGGTTTCGTACTCATACTACACTTGTTGCACTCTTTGTGGTGCAGATTCGATTCCAAGTAGGAGCACATCTCGAGGAGCAGTTTGAGTCCGAGTTTGGAGTGTCTTGGAGTTGTGGTGAGCTGCTTGGCTGTTCCGTGGCCCACACCTCCCTCTATCTTTTACTTATTCTGTTATTCAGTATTCAGACAGGATATCCCTTATGTTAGATTTGCCTTTTTGGTTTCAGACTTGCATCGTATTTTAGAAGCTCTTGTACTTAAGACACCAATTCTTGGGGTGGTATATTTTATCTTCCGCATTTCGTACTTATAAGGAACTCATGTTGGAGATTCTTGCTAAGCGTTGGTCTTTTTACTCATTTGATTGGTTTAGTTGGGTTAGTATGTTGGGTTGGCTTACCTATTGGTTGGGAACATAGGTGCCATCACGACTTGAAAAAAAATTGGGTCGTGACACCCTCTAGTCAACATTCATTAAACTGTTGAAATTTTAATTCTATCATCTTAAAAATCTATTAGAAAAATATTCTTAATTAGCAAAAAAAGTAATTATCATTAAAAATATGTAAATAAATTGTTACTCCCTTTAGTCCACATTCAGTTAATTGTTGAGATTTTAAATCTATCACTCTTAAAAATCTATTAGAATCATATTCTTAATTAGCAAGAAAATCAGTATCAAAAAAGATGTAAATAGATTATTAATCTCTCTAGTCAACATTCAGTAAATTATTGAAATTTCAAATCTATCACTCTTAAAAATCTATTAGAATCATATTCTTAATTAACAAGAAACTCAGTATCATAAAATATGTAAATAGATTATTAGTCTCTCTACTTAACATTCAGTAAATTGTTGAGATTTCAAATCTATCACTCTCAAAAATCTAAAAATCCATTAGAATCATATTCTTAATTAGCAAGAAAATCAAAATATCATAAAATCTGTAAATAGATTATTAGTCCCTCTAGTCAACATTCAGTAAATTGTTGATATTATTTTATAGTCCAAAATAAGTGAATATCTCAAAGTTTAAGAGAATTATGAGACCTTTTTGCATAGTTACCGTTCCTTCTGATGAGGTTCTTAGGTACTTATCATTTTCTAGGACAATAACTTGAAAAAATAATAAAAAGGAGAATAGAAAAAAAATAGTCTTTTAATTTATATCATTAATATTTTTTCTTATAGGGTGTGTCATTAACTGTTCAAGCGCATTATTAATTTAACTTTTTTTAGTCAACCTTTAAATACCTTAAAGTAATTTTCTTTTCTCTATATACACTAATATGTTAACGATTCAATTTCGTACTTTATAGTCTATAATATTAATCTTGATAGTTTAAATTATTTTGACTTCTCTTTTTAATAGTATTATGACTATTTCATTGGTTTGTATTGATTGAATTACATAGTATCTAACTTTTAAGGAATAACATTGTATGTGATTGTCCTTCTATATAATTGTAAGTAAACATACTGTGATGTCTTTTTTAAACATAATGATAGTGCATCGAATTAAATAGAGACACTGAGAATATAGATTTAATAAGATTGATCAAAATACCCATCCTAAAATGGTTCTTACATTTGAGATTTTTTTGGGCGACATAAAAAAGGTTATAAATATAAGCATGTAGGGAAGGAGGAATGTTTTTTTTAGAATAAAAATTGACAATAACTTAAGTTAAAAACTAAAAACATTTAAAGAGAATATATTACACATTAAAGTTTATCTTGCCACTCTTTAATTATGAATTTTATTTTTTCAATAAGTAATTTTTTCTTAAACATTAACGAGAATCTATTACATGTAGATGACTAAACGAGAAAAACAACTTCTCTACAAAAAAAATCTCAAAAATAAAAATATATTTTCTCTCTAATTTGTCCTCTTCTTTAAATGTCGATCGCCACTTATAAAAAATTCTGCATACGCCAGAGGAGGCAGAGGTTGAGTGCTGGATTTAATCTCTCGAGAAGCTGGTTTCTTGAGTTGCTCAATCTCCCTTTGCGTTGCTTGAGCATGCTCCAACTGAATCTCAAGTTTCTGCATCTTAGCCTTTTCAACTTCAAGTGTTTGTTCTTGTTCGAGATGTGCTATCTTTGTATTTTCGATTTTCTTCTTCAAAGATTCTGTTTTCTTCTTCAAGTTTTCCATTATCGTTTTTATTGTTTCAATATTCTCCTTGGCCTTCCTATGTTCTCCTCGAGTATGATTGATAAATCCCTCAACGTCAATTGCATTGAGTATAGCACTTTCATTGTTTTTCTTCAATGTAGACAAAAATGACATGATTTATTTGGATGTATTTTGCAAATTGCAGAAATGAGAATTGTACTCTATGAATACTAGATGTTGTAAGAGAGACACTGAAAAACAAACAGAGAAAAGTAAAGGAACCAAAGAAGGATTTTTATAGTTGGTGTGAGATTTTTCTTAAGATAATATTTGGAAATTTAGTAAATAACATTCTCGCTCTCTCTCTATATATATATATTTATTGATTTAAATTTGATTTGACTATAAAAAAACCAAACTTATCAATACTGAAACCTACCAAAAATATGATCTTAATTATTTATATGAAAATAAACCTCATAAAATAGGAAAATATTTATTAGTATTACTAATTCATTATTTTCCCAGTCAACCCAAATTGAATAGAAGTCTAATGCTAAAAATCCATAATTGACCTCCAAGAAAGTTAAGTAATTATCTATTAAATTAAGGGATGGGATAATTTTAGAAATTTCCCTGCAGGTTTCACTTTATAACACTCATCTCCCTTGTGGTTTATAATATTACGTTTACCTCCCTAATTACAATTTACTTGTAACCATTCTTTAAGCCTATTTAAAATAAGCATAAATTAATTTTGATTTGACAATTTTATCCTTCTTTATATTAATTTCTTCATATTAATAAATATTTTACAAAAAATAACTCATTTAGCAAATACATTAAAAATAAATCAGCACAAATACGTATTTTTTTTATCCAACAAAGACCAAAGTCTTCATTCAAGCTAACCCGTCATTTTCATTGAATATTAACTCTTCATCTCCATTCACCTTTACCAATTCACGTAGATTTTTTCCCACAATAACTCATCAATTTCCGACAAGAATTTCTTCAAATAGATTATTAAAATGAACTCCCCAAGAGAGAAATTCGATAAGAACGGTCAGATTTTGTTCTAGTTAAACATTTTTACGAGCGAAGAAGTAACATGATCTGACGAATAGAGATAAATCGTTGAAAATCCTATCTAAGCTTTCATATATAAGGGTGAAATTGTCAAATCTATATTAATTTATATTTATTTTAAATAGGTTTAAAGAATGATTACAAGAAAATGGAAATAAAGGAGGTAGACGTAATATTGTAAATCACAAGAGAGATGAGTTTTATAGAGCGAAACCTGGAGGGTTGTCTCTGAAATTATCCCTTAAATTAAATAACTTTTTCCATTTTAATAAAAGGAATTTATAAATTTGATTTCTATTATTAAATTCAGATTAAAAATATAATGTAAAACAAATTATTTTTCTATATATGTTGAACAGAGTGGGTTGGAGTCTTCACAGATTTGACCTAATATCAGCCTAGAAATGAGAAATAGGTGGTACTAATATAAATCAACTGAAGCTAATCATTATCAATAAAGTGAAAATTTAGATAGTTAATCGACTTAACTACTTATAGGACCTCCTTATGAAAAATGCTTCCAAACTCTAACATGGAAATGTAGGAATGAATTGTTTACTCTATAAGAGACAATAAGTTATTTAGTCATACCTAAACATAAATTTACGTCAGGAAAAGTGTTATTCTGTTATGTGAGATTGTATTTATGATATTGAAAAGTGTTATTCAAAAAAAAAGTTATTTTAAATTATTTAACAGTAAATTTAATTAGATGTACTATTGAATGTCAAACTAATTAACAGTAAAGTTATTTCAAATGGGACTCAAAAGTCATGACCAGAAGAGCCTAAAAAGGCCCTAATTCAACCACAAATATTAGGGTTTTAGTTTCTAGCTTTTCCATCAAATTATGGTTTTATTAGTTTTAGATTATCTTTTAGGATTTTATTAAGTTGGCAACCACCTTTTTTCTCTTGTATATGAATATTGTGTTTTTCATTCTTAAGGACACATTACACTCAGATTATTAATAATAACATTGAGAATTCAGTTGTCAACTATTAGTTTCATAGTATAAGGTAATTCTTCTTGTGACATCTTTGATTCAAACTAATTGTTGATTTAAGTTGCTCATTAAGTAGTCAAGATCTAAATCTATCGTTTTGATTCATTTTCTCAAGTTAAGACGTTAGATATCTTTCGTATCTATATTATTACTTGGATTGTGCCAAGTCTTTAGAACATTGTGTTCTGGAAAATTCTTGAATTGTTCTTCAAAAATTTTCACATAACTTCATTTCTAGTTTTTAGATTTTTTTCCTTTTTGATTTCACACATCTACATATTCACTTCTAAATTTGGAATCTTTCTAACCACATGTTTATGATTATATAATTCAATCAAGACAAAACAAAAAATATCATGTTATAACTAGAAATATTGGTTTAAATAATTTATTAAATTATCAAGACTAATATCATTGATGCTAAGGTAAGAAATTGAGGTATTACATTAAACGATTTTAAGGTAGTAACTATTGATGACATGAAAAGTGAACTAACAATAATAATTTAATGCACCTAAAGGTGTAGCCTAGTAACTAATGAAGTGGTGAGAATCAAGTCTCAGATTCAAAATGTGGACCCAAAGTTTAAAAATTGAAAGACCATTTTGTCTATCCAATAAAAATCGATCATTTTACTCTTTAATCTAAAATTATTTCAATATAATTTATGTACTAAAAAATAAACTTACTTTATAAAAAAATATTTAGGTGAAATATACTTTGATTAATTTCTTATGATGGATGTACACTCTCTCTATTGTTTATAATCTTTTTGTCTTGTGATACTTCATGTGGAAAAATAATTCAAACATGACAAATCTAAATATAATTAGTATTAGGTTAAAATTAAAATTATATCCGTATAAATTAATTTATTACAAGTTTGACATCCATAATCTTCTTCTCCACCTTCTTAATTGTGTCTCATCTATCGTGACAACAATATCTCCGACTTGAAAAGAAGAGTTTATTTTTATAAAAAATAATTAAAAATATATTTGAAAAAATTAATATGTCAAAAAATAAAGTTGTTATATATAAAGGTGGACGGAGATTTAATGGACAAACACGCCTAGAAGCATTTTTAGACAAATATATGATCTAGTCAATGTTCAGATGTGTTTCGCTAACCGTTTTGTAATAGTTAAGATAGAAAATTCATACGGTTAATAATTTATATATGAAACTCAATAAAGTGGAATAGTTTAAGTGTATTTTTACCCTTAACTAAATATTATGGTACAAGTCAGGGTCAAAGCTATAACTGACAAAGAGTGCTAAGCCAAACACCCTTCGTCGAAAAACTAGATCGTGTATATAAATAAAATATTTATTATTATGTGGACATATGAATAAATGAACATTCTTAATTACAACAAAGATTTATAGTCTAGCCGTAAGCTTATTCAATAAAGAGCCTAAGGTCCCTAGTTCAATTCCTTGCATTTTAGCACAAAAAACAAATTAAAAGGAAAGGAATAGAAATAGTTATCCAGAATTTTATAGTTTCTTTATATTTTCGATCAAGTAAATTATTAGATTAACACCATCGTATGAATTAAATTTAAAGATAAACTTAAAAATCACTTTTCAGTTTTCACTATTATTCTTTTGATTATTTCTAAATTATTCTTTAAGAATCTCATTAGAAAATGATACATATGGGGAGAAGTTTTAACAATTCTCCTGAATTATAAAAAAATCTCTTATTTTCTTTAATTTTTTTTTTTGAAATCAATATGCATATTTATTAATAAGTACATGTTAAAATTTTCAATATTTTATATAGATAAATAAAAAAATAAATTTAGTATGAGCATAATAATTTTAATATACTTGAAAGTATTAAAAAAATAAATTTACACATCATTCTACAAATTAAATCACTTCACACGCAAATTAACCACAAAAACAAATAAATGTAAGAAATACATTGATAAATATGTATATATAACAAGGATAGTTGATTAAAAAAAACAGAACAAGGACAGTTGGTCTAAAAAATATAATTTTCTGTTTTTACTTTTTTTTTTAAGAAGTAAAAATTTTTAGTTTCTTCTCAATACCGAAAAAATTACTCTCCTCCTATTTAATCGTAGTTTAACTGATTGGCAAAATATCTTATCTTTTTCAATTAAAAAAATTATTTTTCTCAAAATAAGCATTTTGGCCTCCCAAAAACAATGCCACAATAAAATAAGAGTTTGTTTTGACATTGCTATTTGGAGGACAAAAACACTTACTTTGAGAAAAACATAATTTTTTGAAAAATTAAGGTGTTTGACCGATTAGTAAAACAATTTTGAACCTAAAATTTTTGTTCTTTTTAAAAAAACAAATGCATAAATAGATTTTTTTAAGACCATAATATATTTGTCATATAACATATTTATCAATATAGTGCTTATATTTAATTGTTTTAATGAAAAACTTTTACAAGTAGTAAATTTATGTGTAGAATATTTTTTAAATATAAATCAATATGTTAATAAAATATCAATAGTTAATTTATCTTTTTAAATACTTCTTAAAATAAGAAGTTTTTAGCAACAATATTAAACATTCTCTAAACATCTTTCCTATGAAATGCATATGAACCTAAAAAGGACAAACTAATGTATTGCCTGATCGCCCATTTTTTAGTCTCCTTGAGGATTTCCCATACTTTGTATAGTAACTCAGTGTATTTATGTCATAGTTTTTGTTCCTCTTATATGAATATTTTTTTTCTTACACTCACATAAATTATCTTTGATTGAGATAATCATTATAAGGAGGAGTTTTCACATGAAGAAAAAAATAAAAGTTCATAAATTATAAGCGTTCTGAGGAAATTGTTTTCTCCAAAATGTAAAAAAAAAAAGAAGTTATGTAGGAAAGCAAGAAATTTTTCTATTCTATGTGGAATTGAAATTTCCGTCATTATTTTTTCAATAGAATTAAGTATACCATTTATATCTGATAAACCAGATGGTGAATATATTATCCACCAATTCATTGAGGCGAAATCATCAAATGGGTGTTCCTCGGAGATATATGACAATTGAAAGAATATATGATCACAAAAGCATGAGTTGTCATATAGATATTGTCTCTTGTCATATTTTTGTGATCACAATTTTTTTTATTTGACATACTACAATTTAAGGAACCCTCAATTGATTGTTGCGCTTCCATAAATTGATGGACAATCAATCTAACATCTTATTTATCAAATAAAATGGTTCACCTATAACTGAAGAAATAATAACAACAAATTCAATCCCACACAAAATAAAAATTTGTTGCTTCCTTACATAAAGCATTTTAGAGAATGTAGTCTACTCAGAACACTTATATGTTATGAATTTTCTTTCACTTGCTTTTTTTTAATTGCATTTAGGAGCAATTTTTGGACATGATTATCATAATAAAAGGTACGCTACATATTCTTATTGAATGAGTGTTTGAATTTAGGATTGTCTCAAAAAGTTTGGGGGTTTAAAGTCATACTTCATAGAAAAATCTTACTTTTATGTTTGACGATAAAAATTAAATAACTATAAAATACTCAATGAAATTTTATTAATGAGGTCCAGAGAGGATAGGATGTGCGTGAATCTTATGAAGTAAGCATGTAAAAAATGTAAATTTTCAATAATTTTTTTTGAATATATACATAAATTGTGGGCCTAAAAAATTGAGGCACCAAAAAATTACTTTAGTGATTTTATGATCAAGATGACCTTATATGAATCTCGAACTAGAGTGCGTATAGAGGAAAACAAACATACATATTTATACAAGGAAAAAAGAAAATTGAGACATGAGTGCACAAATTACTATGTATCTATGGAAAAGTTCAAGGGGACTCACATATGTTGTTGATAATGGTTGATTGCTTCTCTCTATTGCGATCTAGATTTTGGTTCTTGAAAAATACTTTATGATGATAGAAAAAGAAAACTTTAATATAGTCTCTAAAGTGGAGGACATGTATAGAGAAACAGAGAAGGACGAAAAATTATGGAGCAAAAGAAGGGCTTTTATAGTTGGTGTGTGGTGTTTTTAACTTTTTTTTTCACTCTCTCTCTTTATATATATATTGATTTATATTAGATTTGGTTAGAAGTCAAAATTAACCAAATCTATCAATCTTAAGAACCTATCAAAAACAATTAATAATGTGGACAAGAAAATTATAATAGTAAAATAGGTAAATATATTATTAGTATTTAGTCAACTTTGGCCTGGTCAATATTCAATTACCTTCTCTTGTTTTCATACACATTAATATATTAATGGCTCAATTTCATACCATATAGTCAATAATATTTATATTGACTCGTATTTTAATTTTAATTTGACAATTTCATTGATTTGACTTGATTGAATTAAATAATATTATTTTTTGAAAAAATAATTGAACATAATTGACTTAACCTCACCTAAAAACCTATCAAAACTCAAACTCAATTTTGAAAGTTAAATTTTGTTCTTGACTAAATTAGTTTTTTTTCTTCTTTATTTGGGTTAAAAAGTTGAACCTTAAAGAGATCCAAAGTGACACCCTTCAGAAGAACTGAAACTAGCAACCATGACCAAAAAAACCTAAAAAGGCCTTAATTCAACCACAAATGTTAGGATTTTAGTTCTAGTTTTCCATCAATTAGGATTTTATTAGTTCTAGATTATTCTTTTAGAAGTTTATTAAGTTGACAACCACCTTTTTTCTCTTATATATAAGAATAAGAGGGTTTTCCATTTTCAATGACACGTTGCATTGAGATTATTAATAATAAAATTGAGAATTTAATTGTCAACCTTTATTAGTTTCATGGTAAAAGATAATTCTTCTTGTGATATTTTTGATACATACTAAAATTCTTAAAATTACTCAGCAAGTAATGAAGATCTAAATATATCGTTTCAATTTATTTTCTCAAGTAAAGACATTGGATATCTATTGATAATCTATGTTATTACTTGGATCTTGCCAAGTCTTTAGAACATCACATTTTTGGAAATACTTGACTTGTTCTTTGAAATATTTGCTATAACTTTATTTCTCGATTTTAGATTTTTTTCTATATTGATTCCACACTTCAAAATGTTCAATTCTAAATTTGGAATCTCTCTGACCACTTATTATCATTATATAATTCAATTGAAGATAAAACAATAAAATGATTAGGTTATAGTTGAAAATTTTAAATTAGTTTAAGTAGTTTTAACTATCAAGACTAATATTAAGAATTCAAGGTAAGAAATTGAGACATTATATAATAATGTATGTATACACGAGAAAATAATTTTAAGGTATTTAAATATTGATTGCACGAAAATTGCACTAACAACAATAATTTAAGTCACCCAAGGGTATGTCCTAGTGGTCAATGAAATGGTTAAGTACCAAAGTCTCAGTTTAAATCTCAATGAAAACAAAACTACTAGGTGAATCTTCTTATTGTCCTAATTTTGCTGGACAAAGTTACTTGCTACATGTTGTTGGTGAGAAGTGGCACATATCTTGTGGAATTAATCAAGGTGCGTAAAATTTTTCACGATCCAAAGTAGACCCTAGGTGTAACTGGCATATAGAATCCCGAGAAGCCCTAAACAAGACACTTAGCATGCATCATACAAGATAATAGAAATAAAGATTTTTGAAGATAACATTTTATTCATCAAAGAGTTTGACAAAAAGTGAAAGTTTAACATAAGTCTTAAAGCCATCTAATTCATAAGGAAAGCGAATGAGACGTAATTCATACATCACATACAAAGTCTGAAATAAAATCACATAAAGCTATAAAATATCTCGATCCTCAAAACATGAGGACTCACTAATCACTTGAAGTACCCAATAGATGTCTAGCCATGAGTATGAGAGACAGAAACTTCGAATCCTATATTCATGAGATAATCTATGCACAAGTATGTATTAGTACAAAAAATGTACTAAGTAAAAGGCAATATGCATAAAAATAAGCATGCTAACATTAAGGACTTAAAACATGTAGGCATGATCACAATGAAACATTTAAAAGCTTCTAGAGAAGAGTTGACATGAAAATAATAACATATAGCCAAATACATTAACATAAAGGACATAAGGAAAGGTTAAAGAAAACATAGTTGTTTGAAGAATTTTAGTTTTAACCGACAATAAGACCATGAGAGTTATATCATGAAATCTAATACATCTCTCATATATACTGAAAGAAGGGGGATTTAGTTTCCAAGGTAGAATTCGTATATATCATCATTTTCTAAAGTGGATCCTTTAGCTAGGTCATTTAAGACACTATATAGGGGTACATAGTTTGAAACTCGAGGTTGCTATTAGAGACTACCCCATTTGAGCCCCTCCACTTCAAAGCTCGCTCGATGCTTAGTATAAATTCCAACGAAATAGGCAAAAGTCAAATATCAATTTAACATTGAAAATTCAATCACCAATACCAATCCATATCTTTCAAGATCAAAACGTAGAATATATTTTTAAACATAATTCAACATAGATGAGAAAACCTTTCATTAATGTGAATCCTTATGTGAGAAATACCTTTCACAATCATGGTCATAATAACATAATAACATGTAAGAAAAACTTTCATAATAGTGTTTACTTTCTTTTAAAAGCATAATTGAATCATTTACAATAGTTTCATGAAAATATGCATATCTTTATTAATACATAATTCATAACCTTCATCATGGGTTCTTAACAAAATCATGGATCATGCATGAATAAACATAAATTTAATTAAACATCATGAATTAACATGGAATCATGCATTATATGACTTAATCAACAAGAATATACCATAATCATTGGATCCATGGAGGAAAGGACTCCATGGTTTAAAACCACATACCTTGATCCTTTAAGCCAAAAATGATAGAGAATTGAAGATCTCAATGGAATTCTAGTTATTTTTATTCTTCATTAGTCTTGAGAGAAATTGGGGAGTTATTTTGGGAAATTTAAAATGAGAACGAACAAAAAATGATAAAATTGGGGATTGAAAAACTAGAGCTTAGGATAGAAGGTAAAATGACATAGTTTAATTTAAAACAATTAGGAAAAAAACCCCAAAAGTCTTTCAAAAATAATTATCGACTCAACCTACGGACCGTCTTTCTACGGTTCGTACTAGTCAACCGTAGACTATGTACTAGGACCATGATTTCACCTATCTTTTGACGGAACAATTTTGCAGTTTGTAGGTCTTTCTACGGTTCGTAGAAATCAACTTTTACCCTTAAAATTTACTACGACTGGGACTCACATGCAAGACTTGTCTACGACTCGTACATAGGATGAACGGACCGCCTTGGTGAACCGTAAAAAAGATATTAGGATTTGTTTTGAAAAAAAAATATTTCCCCTTTTCCTACGGTTGTGATCCACGACATGTAGAAACTTTTACAGTCCGTAGATGAGATCCTTAAATTCAGACTCAATCCTACAATTTTTTTTCCTTTTGCAAATTCAGGTATCACAAAATTGGTCGGAACACCAAATTCCTAAATAATTTTTTTAATAAAATACGAATTTAGTTTTTTTTAATAATAATTTAGTTACCTAGTTTATGATTTTGAGAAATAATCAAGTTATTTATTGAATTCATATTAAATCAGAAGTAGAAGAAGGAAAAATCTATATTGAGAATTATAATTTGCAAGGATCCAAAATTAGTGTTCACATTATTTTTCTCAATTTTTCATTCACTAAATCAATTCTTCTTTTTAATTTTTATCTTTAATTTTTTTGTTTCATTTTTCCTTATATATCATTTCGTTAAATCATTTTATTAAAAACCTTTTTACTTTCTTTTATTTATTTATTACAAAAAATTAGTTACTATAAATATGTAAAACATATATTTATACGTATTAAGGTAAATTTAATGCTATTTTTTATCAAAAAAATTAATTCACATCTTCAGCTAAATATCTATATAACTATACTTATATCAAAGAGAAAATAAATCATTACCCCATTCAATTATAAACACTTTTTTAAAAGCGAAATGGCTCGATAGAGTTCTACTTGTATGCATTTGTAATTCGAATCCATCTACTTGACTATTTGTCAAATAAATCCTTAAACTAAATAAAACTCTATGTTTTAAGCGTGAAACACCAAATTTTGAACTAAAAGTAATTTTTTTTAAAAAAGAAAAGAATAAAAAGATAAAAAATAATAAACTATTTTCTATTTTTTCCACAATTTTTTATTCTTTTCCCACCCCCACCCATCTCCATTACTTTTTTTTTCTTTCTACTCTCAAACACCCATTTCTCTTCTTTCTCATCTTTCCGGTCCTTTCTAATTTCTTGTTTCTCCATTCTTCTTCTTTTTTCACATTTTCTTCTTTTAGGGTATAGAAATGAACTTGTATTGTTGTTGTAGATACATATATTTCTTTTATTTTGGGGGTAATTTATAATTCATACAGTGATAAAAATTAACAATTTTGAAAATGTCTGTGAAATTAATGTTATTTATATTATTTCCTTAAATAATGAATGGCGCACAAGACGAGAATTTTTTTTTAGTGGAAGAATAAATTTATTTATTGAATTCATATTAAATTAGGCATAAAATATAAATTACTATTCTAATTCTTTTGAAAATTTTTTTATTTTAAAAGACCAAAAGTCTCACTTTAAAATTTTACAAAACATTAAAGGTGACTATATTTTTTACAAATTTTGTTCATCACCAATTATATTAATTTTGATACTTTATTATCTTAATCTGATAATTAATGTTATATATATATCATTTTCTTAAATGACTTGTTTTTTTTCTTTTTTCATTTTTTTTACTTTATTTATTTATTTATTTATTACAAGAAATTAGTTAATATAAATTTGTAAATATACATATTAACGTAATTTGATTTTATTTTTTATTAAAAAATTATGTCATTTCTTATCTAAAGATCTATACAACTATATCCATACCAAATAATAAAGTTAAAAATTGAAAATAAAGACACTTTTTTTTAACTTAAGACAATATCTAATCCCATCTATTTTTTTGAAATTTTTCTTTTATATATATATATATATATATATATATATATATATATATATATATATATATA